GTTTGACCTTACATGGCAAAGCGTTTTTCATCAAATACTAACATAAGCAGTGATCGAATCCATTTATGGTAACTGGGAACTTTTCAGCCATTTTTATCCAGAATAATTCATCAGGCCTTTGAGTGACTACAAACCACTCAGTGCTCTCGGGCTGTCAAACGAAGAAGTATTGTTTGCGATTCGAGGCGTTGTATGACATTCCGTCAGCGGACACAAACGCAACGATATTAGTCGGAATGTATGGATCGAGGATAATGAAGTTGAGGGCTGGATCACTGTCACCGCAAGTGCTAGCGGGTCTTTCATGAAATCTACCAGTATTCCCACTTCCTTATGTTATAAGTTAATGCCTCAGAATATGATAGAAATGTCATTTTAATTATCGCTGAGTTCAAACGCCTTTAGCTGGCGATTCTTGTCCTAAAGATGATATAACAAGTGGAGGGATTAGCTACCATCAAGTGCCTGAAATGTTCAATGCGAGAATTTGGATGATTCTTCCATCAAAACCGTAAAACAACTTCATGTAAAAGCAGATCAGCCAACAGTTTTATGCTAAACACTTACATGTCACACTTGTTTGACCTGCTAGACTTTAATCCAAACTATACTATTATCTGCCAGGGGGCTTCAGTATAAGTCGGCGTGTTTTGACAACCCAGATGTAACGCACTAAAAATTCTGGCCCTGCCTCACGCATGATAAGGCCCAAGTATATTAAACAGAATAAATGCTGTAACTGTCACTTCCCGTTTTAGCTCCCGATACCCTAAATAATGCTACTTATTTGCATTTTGAAGAGGTCATGCGAATTCTTCGAAGAGTTGCACAAATGGAATTTTCCCTTATCTGGTTAGGCGACAGTCACCATTTGTTAAATTGTCACCCCGATTTACATTCATTAATATCTGCTTTCAGTATGAATGTACTTATCAAAGAAATCTTGTATCCCGCATATGTTTGCCAGGAAATGTGAGATAAATTACAAAATGCAAGATTTCAGAGGGAGAAAATACGTAAATAGGCATACATAAGAGTTTTACTACGATGGTGGTGAAATTATGAATGACGACAACCAATGGGCTTTTGACTCGGTATTGCATAATATAAAGGTTACGTAATGACCTGATAAGGGAAGAGTACTGATTTCCATTTGGATTGAACAACTCATCGATTTACTGGTGATTTGAGCGGAAGCTTCAGTTTCCTGGTCTGGTCCTTTGAATACATTCAGATTTCGTAAGTTCATCTAAGCCTACAGGTGGTCTGGCTCACCATTTGGATCTTCAAGATTAAGTTACTCCTGAGTCCTGAATTACCGATAACAATACTAATAGAAAGCCTTTGCACCCATTCTATTGTGGCTAAAGTTAGGCCTAGAATAAATTCAAATAGAGATCCTTAGCACGGCTGCTTTTTAGGCAGATGACAAGTTGACCATACCGCGCTAATTATCCCAAAAGATACAGTTACGCGCTGGTTTACTCCAAACCAACCACTGTAGTTGTATGTCTTTTTCTGTCCCCTGGGCAGCCAAATGGTTTTTGGAAGTAGCGCAGGCCGTCAAACGTCATTCAGCATGCTGTACTTTCATGCTGTACATTCAGCATGCAACTACTGTGTGCTTGAAAACGACTCCTTGTATTGTTTTGTACAAGCCAACTGTCTAGCTTACATAAACACCGCCTCATAACCACTCATTTAAAATTGGGAGCAGTCAGAATAACTGTTCCCAGGTTAGATTTGTTTGACCGAATTTGTGCTCCTCAGTGCTCGAAAAAGCGTTCTCAAACGGCCCAAAATCAGTAGTTTCTGATGACATGACACACTACGTAGTATGCAGCGAGCACATCACTGAACCCGATCTACAATTTGTGATGTGGTCATTGTCAGGTGGTCGCGATTCCGAAACAAATAAATGTAGTGTTGGGATTGTCAAGATAGTGCTGAAGATATTTCATAACTTTAACTTAGTGGAAAATTAAAAAACGCACTCTTCGTAATCACTACATATAGGTGATAATATTGGCAGAACTGCGGTATCCCACGACTAAGAAAACATAAAGTATTCTCAAGAAACCATACGGTTTGGAAACACCTTTTAGTCTGAAAATGCCGCTGTTATATGCGACTCGCCCATATTATTTTACGGAGAAAACGTGTACCATAACATTTCTTCCTCAGAGGAAATATCAGAATAAGCGGACAGGCTACGAGCAGAAGTGATCTCAAAATTTTCGAGCTTCAAACATAAAAGCATCAGATAGGATAAGGCCGTCACCATGAAAACGGATGAGACTATTGCCACGCTCGTCTTGAACAGGAATAACCATTTTCACAAACGTCAAACAATACATGGCTACGAGATTTGGACAGCCTTGAGACAGATAAATGGAGGCAGTTATAAACACTGTTTGCTCGACAGTGTGAACAGGAATAACCATTTTCACAAACGTCAGACAATACACGGCTACGAGATTTGGACAGCATTGAGACAGATAAATGGAGGTAGTTATAAACACTCTTTGCTCGATAGTGATTTGGAGGGACTCAGCTGCGAATAGATGAGCACAGCTCACTAATCCACCGCCTTCTCCTGCTTTGGATAGCTTAGCACTTTGCAGGCAGTACGACTGATGCTGTGTAAAAGTGACTTCCTGAATTCGTGTCTGGCTAAGCGAGTGGTTCTGATTTTCTTCAGTCTATGTTGCTCAAAGTCTGCTGTATTTCCAGCTGCTTTGTCCGTATGCCATCCCGCCATTAGGGAAATCCAAGGTAGTTTAAGAAGAGAAAGATTGGTCTTCAGTGAGTAGAACAAGTTTTCCAAAGTATTTTCGGATTGTTGCACTTTCATACTCTTGAAAACTGTTGAAAGACTATGTGAAGCAGATGAATGACTGCCACCCGATGACCACTGTCGGTTTCATTCTGGTAATATGCTGATAAATCTCAACAGGCTACCCAGTTGGGTGTACCAAGCGAGGAGAATTTGATCCAAAACTACAGCGGTTTTACCACTAGTTTCGTAGGTTTTGTTGTTGCAAGCAAAAGTTTTATAACCAAGTATAACTTCCTAGCAAGCGCCATTTCCAGAGTTTTTTGCTCTGACACTTTGATGACGCGAGCTCAAATACATTCTTCGCAACCCTTTAGAACAGTATCCTTGACACACTGTTGTCAGCTAAATAGCAGTGTCAAGAACCGTGCAGTATGATCTCACGATTTGAAAGAAATGGAAACTTGTGGCTGCATAACAACTTTAGCTTTCATCCTATGTGTACCGGTTCATTTATTTTAGGATATGTAATTAATGTGGGGTATGTAATTCATACCATTTCTTGATCAATTCCAAAGTATCAGCTTACCCTTCGATGCATTTTACACTTTAATGTCCCGGACACTATGGTGTTTACCAAAATTCTTGTTCCCGACAAAATTTATCAGAACTGAAATATTCAGCGTATGTTCCATATAGCAACACGTTTCGTGGGACTGATGAACAATCATGTTGTGGTGAAGTAGTTCCATGTTTTTTCGGTAAGTCTCCCAGTCCGGTTACCTAGATCTGTCCGGATGAACTAGCAGTAGATAATAAGATGCAACTTTCTGCTAATTTTAGGTTTAAATTCCATTCTCTACAGGGACTAGTTTTAGAAAGTCATGCACAAGGTATCCATCCTCTCTGATATGAGCAGTCATTCATTCACTGGCGTCGTACACGGTTGATTTTCAAAGTTCAAAGGAAGACAAGCGTGCAGACGTGCCTGGAATGTACTATGACGAGAAGTCTGGCTATCACCTGGTTTAATGTTTAAAATGCAGCACTTTATTGAACGTTTGGAATGAAGGCATGCAGCTAAGAAGTTCTGAAACTACTTTTAAAATCAACGCTCAACAAAAGCATCACCTGAAAGACGGGAAAGACATGAAAGACTATGGGAGACGGTCTTTGACATAGAGAAACCTGGAAGTTTACCGGATTCTTTGAGAAGAGAACCATGCAAGATCGAAATATAGACGGATTATGACAATTTTAGCTGGCTGGCCAGGGTTGCCCTTAAGAAGTTCGCATTGTTTAATCCATCATTAAAAGAATTTGAAATGGACGATGCGTTTACATGTCTAAAGGGTGTTCAATTCCGGAATCCACTGTGGCACCATCGTGAACACAAGTGCAGAATTTTGGTTTGATTGTAGCGAACATATGGTTGACCCATAGTAATATGAACAATTTTCCATGCTCGAATGCATGCATAAGAGCAGTTTCCAGGAGGGTTTATGGGTATAACGAAATGATTTTGGTATACCATCGTAAGAAAGTAATTCAACAAAAATACTCACATGAACCAAACCAACATTAAAAACTCGTTATGTATTTGCACGAATGAGTTTCTAATGTCTGAAAAGGAAATATTTTCTCTAAAAATTTAGTCGAATAATGCGCAAATAATTTGATAGGCTGGAAATTGTCATTTTATCTTCTAAGAGGTTTATTAACTGAGGAAAGTCACACTTACGCTCTGCTGAGTTCTCATCGGCGTAAAACTAGGATACCAACTACCGTCGGCTGGCTCCAAATTTAGTCGTTGCATCGTGTGCGATCATTTCAAACGGATGAGGGCAACGGAGAAGAGCATTTGAAATGTGAACTAGAAAAAAACGTACCAGTCGCCGGAAATAACAGGACACTGACTGTAAGTCAGCAAAGGAGCACCACAATCACAGATACGATAAGCCTTGGGATGGACTTCGTATAAGGGGTATTGTCCCGATTTCTTCTGCTTGCAGCTGGTTTTGAGGGTCTTTTGAAGAGGACAAAAAACCGGCATACAAACTCTGGAACGACTAGCAACCACTCTTTGGTAAAATATCTATAATTGAATAAGATTTTGAACTATTTCCAAGTATTATTTTTGTTCTGTAAACCAGCGGATCTTAATGTTCAATCAAAAATGCAGGTTGACTTCTGGAGAAACGTGAAAATCGAAGGTGAAATAACGGTGTCCCTTGGCGTATGCTCACTGTTCACGTCGGTTAATTTGAGTACAGCGACGTTGGCGGTTGCTACAGTCCTGAACAACCAGATGGCCATGAATGGACCACTTGGGAGAGAACGGACATGCGAACTACCAGACCTAGGCTTGACAACCTACTTTGAGTTCGATGGAGAATATTACGAACAACTGAAAATAGTACCAATGGGATCACCAGTCAGTGATTTTATCATGGAAGTTGTAACGCGGCAGATGGAGCGGACAGTGCTACCAAATATTAGACCAAATGTACGAATGCGATATCTGAATGACACACTTGTCAACGTAATGGAAAATGAGCAGCCACGAGCGAATCTAATCTGAAAAATGTGTTTCCTGACTTCCAGTTTACAATCAAAACGGAAGGGAAGAGAGACTAGCGTTGCTTGATGTACTGGTCACAAGGAAAACAGATGGTCAACTGTAAACTAAAGCATACACGAGGAGAATGCTCACAGCCCGGAGTGTGAAATTCGTCAGAAACCATTCGAAGTTTCACAAATGAATAGCGTTTGAACAGCTGCGTTCAAGCGAATCAAAGCGCACTGCGTTACAACAGATTTGAAGACAGGAAAATAGAGCGGAGCCACCAAATCCACCTGTAAAGATTTATTGCGGTAAGATTTTTTTGTTGGGACTGAAAATTTGGCAGATTATCTGAGTAATCAGCAATACCCAAGTTTTTTTATAATTTGATTCGTGGGTTACGCCAAGAACACAACTAAATTCGTTCTATGCTGCCTCCCTGCCTCCCTGTAAGGGAAAGATTGTCTTCACAAACCCACTCTATATTGTGGATATTAAACATACCATTTTACTTATCATGGATCCTGATAAATTAGTCCACTTTTTTTACCTATTAAGCCAAATTTTCTATTGCTGTCCTACGTTAGCCTTATTACTTTACGTTGCCTTCAGTACTGGTTGTTCCTAACTAAATACTCCATCGTGTAGCAAGTTCTGCATTTGGAATTGACATATTTACCCATTATGGTGACTGTAAATTACTGTCATGCTCAGTAAAACTTGCGGGTTTTTTATTCGTACCTGCATAAGATTGAAATACAGGATGAATCTTCAAGGCGGAATCTAATGAACTGTTACATAAAACCGTTCTTTTGCTACCTGAAAAATTCTTATGTTACTTTTTGCAAGGTAAGTTTAATGGAGTTAAATGACTGCAGTTTACCTTACTGAGTTTCACCTTGCTTCGTATTTACCGTAACTAATGTCAGTGCTTCCGGAGCTTGGTCTCGCTTATTTCTCCAAAATTTGTGTTACATTAATCTTTTATGAAATGACATGCACCTGCTGAAAATAAACACTCACATGTGCTTGCGTGAGCTGCGACAATAAAGGTCGATTTCTCGCAAGGATAATTTGATTTTATCTCACTGATCAACTTCTCATTGCGAGACTGTGCTGCGTAGATCACAGCCGCGAAAAATTACTATACTCGGGTTTTGTTCTTATTCTTGGTCCTTATTTCCTCATATTCTGTAGCACAGTTAATCTTGATAAACGCAGTCATTTATTGGTAGCTTCAAGGGTGCAGGACGTCCAGACGGAATTGTCCCTTACTGAAGTCCACTGTGAGTGGTCAGCATAAACTGGTCCTCTATACGAGCAAACCTTTTCTTAGAGTTTGGTAAATAAGAAAATGGGCCTAGAAACAATACGGGTAATTTCTTATAATGAGTAGTCTCTTATACAGTTTAAGAACGCAAGCCAACGACATCAACTTAGTTGACAGACGACACAAAGTGTGTCATGTCCTCAAATACTTCCGTGAAGTAAGATGTGCGTTAATAAGTTTGAACAATATAGTCAGAGGTTCTTCCAGTAGTTAAAACCAACCTATTCAGAAAAACCGCGACACACTTTAGAAATGTTTCATCGTTAGCATGAATTAATTTCATTTCGGACCAACAACCGCTCAATATGTTGAACACTCCTTCGTGATTTCGATTTCGATTTAGTCCCCAACCAGTGTTGGGGTGTCTTCGGGTTAATATCACACTCGCGATCAGTGGGCTGAGCATTTCTGATGATTTCCATAAACAAATAAACGAATATAGTGTGATAAGAGATCTCTTGGCAAAGAGCACATTTAATTACATTTACATACCCAAATCACCTTGGACAATAGACACTTAAGTTTATTTTTTAATTTCGATAAAAGGGTAGTGTAGCAGTCAAGTACGAGAGACATTACCGTAAATTATTCATTACTGTAGCAGTTGCTGTCGATGGCGGACTCTGCTTACGAAACGGTTTTTAAGATGGTCACAATAAGAAGCTAATATTCGTGAAAGGGCTTGGTCTGGTGGCCATTTACCACACATTGTTTGCACCATAAGAAGCGGTTATCAGCCGGTGATTTGAACCGCCTCCAGATGGTACTGACTGGGTAGCCTGGACTTCAGTCTGCGTGAGATAATAGTTCAGCAACTCATGACAGAGCTAACCACCCTGTTTGGTTTCAATGTGCTAATTGCTTTGGACTGTGTACACTACGAATCATCTGGCGCCTCCACACCAGTGCCAACCAGTAAACAGAAGAGATTCGTCGGGCTCACGTGGGAGGAATGTGGCAAGTGCTGAAAATCGAAAGTTGGCTTGGTAGCCCACCATCGAGTTCACGACAATAAAAGTGTCTGTATGACCACGGTCGCCCAATTGGCCTGCGCCGATGGTTCCCGCCTATTTCCGATGAAGATTGGCCTAAGTCAACATCGCCGTCACGCATACCCCACCCAGTATAATGAAGTTAAACTAGGCCGTGTGAAGTGTTCCGGTTTCTGCTGGTCCCCACAAGAGTCATAATCGCTCTTGCTCCTGGTTAAAAATTTATGTCTATCTTCTGACACGCTAACCGCGCTGTTCCCGACATTGGAACAGTATTTTCCTGATCGATCGGCCATCAGCATCAAAACTGGGTTACGCGTGCTTAACTGGCAAGCACAATAGGACGAATCATAATCTGGTGGACTATCAGTCAAATAGCGGCCTACTCTTCAGAAGCCGATGACTATAGCGTCTGGTTTAAACAAACCTAGGATTGCGTCGCGTCACTCCTGGAATCCCATGCTAGCGGTTTGCCCGCTAGTGTTGACCTTCTGGCATTTGCCCGAGGGCTGCATTCTGGCGCATGACACCGGATCGAGTCCTGTCGCTTCTGGATTTCTACGCCTTCAAGTAATTGCCACACACCTGGAAAACTCTATCCCGACGCCTTCATCGGTTAGCGCATTGGATTCGGTCAACCGCAAGCAGATTTGCCGAATCACTTACGCAGCCATCCAGACCATATACCACAACAGACGGAAAGATGCAGCGTCTGCTGTGCTCGATGGGTCACAGAAGGATTGCTACAAAGTTAACTGCGGCCTACCTATGGACGCCGAGCAGTATTGAAAACACGTGCTGTCAACATTAAACACGTAGATAGCAGGCCAAGCCGCGTAGTAGTACCACTCGATTGGACCTCGATCGAGCCAATTACAGGAGAGGGGGTCGGGCGTACTGTCCGTTTACTGGACAATTCGGCCCCAGGCCCAGACAAGCTCACAACCGGGATGGTCCGTCAGTTCATTGCCAACGTGCTCGCTGGTTATTTCAACTTACTCTTATTATCTGGGGCTTGTTCCCAGATAATAACAGGAAACATCGGGCGACAGCAGTCTCAGTCGAACCATCTTGCTTCGCCAAAGAACTCATCACTCTGATTTCGACAGACATCGTAACATATTTGGGCATTCGCTTTACTTCCAAGGAGAAAGGGGCCTTCAACCACCGAGAGCACTTGCCCAAACTGCTTGATGATGTGACGCATGCCCCACTGAAGCCGCATCAAAGAATGGGGATGACGAGGAACTACCTGATGCTGAGGCTGACCTACTCGCTCGTGCCCGGCCGGGTTCACGAAACACTCTCAAGAGGATGGGCATCTACATCAAACAATATAGTTTTGGCCGATTACGTTCACTAAAGGACACCCCGATCGGCTGCATCTACACCGGTAAACAACATGGGGGACTTGGTATTGCAACTCTGACAGCCAACAATCCCGATGCAGCAGAGAGCGCGTATGGAAAGGCCCCTTCCCACTCAGTGTCAAGTACTACGCAATGTGGTCAATGATTCCGAATTCGGCATGATTGTTCGGGATGTCTGCCGATCCGAGTCCATGAGGCGTGTGTAAACACCACGCAAGAGCTGGTTGTTACTTGGGATGATAGTCCATAAAACAGCGTTGGCGGTCGCGGTTTACCGCAGTTGGTCGCTTGGTCTCTTTTTTATCGATGAATTGTATTTCCAGAACGAGTGTTTCGTCGGATACTTATCCGCGGTATCCAGTGCGGATGCAGACTGCTCAGGATGAGAATTAGAAGTGGTTGACATGGTCATGGTGGCCTGAAGATCTCCCGTCGTGGAAACTGTGGCCGGCTGGAGAGCTCTGTGCATATTCTGCAGTCCTGCTGGATCACGCATGATTTCAGATCTTCTCGTAATGATCTAGTTGCAAGGGAACTCGCAAAGTGTCTCCGTCGACTGGGATACACCGTCTCTGAGGAGTTGAGAGCACATTCTTTGACGTCCTTCACCAACCGTGACCTAATTGCTATTCGAGATCGCCCAGCAACTGTAATAGACGTCAGCATAGTCTCGGATGGGCGTGAAGTGACTGTGTGGAATGAGGAAAAGCAGAATTATGGTGTTGATGAATAACACCTCGCCATAATCTCAGTCCTACATTCAATCGGATGTGATGTCGGATTTTTGGTCCACCAACCGGTGGTCATCTCTTATTGAGGGATCTGCTTTCCTCAATCCGCCAAGGCTGCGACTGGACTGAGACTTCTTAAGGTCGCAGTCAGTGAATTGCGTTTGCCTGCCGTTGTAGGATTCATCTTATCTGACTGGAACTTTTGGTGGTATGACTTCAAATGAGACCTTTCACACTTTTGTCTCATATCCTCCTGTAAGCTTTTCATCTTTTGCACCAACTTTTAATGTCTGTGACCATGCTCTTCAAAGATGAACGATAGTATCCAAGGTAAGTGAAAATTATTAATGGCGTTGGCCACTCACTGTCTGCATCGACACTACGTTCTTCGCAACGAAAAGCTAAATGCTAAGTCTGCATCTAGTACCGAGAAATTAATATTTAAAATTTAGGACGACTGGAATGACGAACAAAGCAGCAGCTGAAAATTATGGTGCTATATCTCTTGATTATCACGTCCAGTTTCTGAAAGACCTTGGGTCACACATTGGTTTTTCTTCGGTAAGAAATCCTTCTGTAAAAATTGCGGAACGCTGACGAGTGTTCCTCAGAAGCGCTTCTTCCGCTCAGTTGAATACGCGCGGATCTAGCTGACTTTTTACAGCCAAATCCGACTTCATCCCGTCGTGCTCTTTGATCTGGTGGTAAATCTGAAGGGCGTGACTTAAGCTATGGCATCGGAGTATCATCAGCGAAACTCCCCACACTTAAAAAACTGCCTTTTAGACGGATACTAAAGTGTGGTTATAAAACACATTCAACTAAAAGGAGAGCGATGTATTGTTTCTATTTTAATTTGCAGGTATTTCATTCAATTTGTAATAAGCATGGAGAGCGATGTATTGTTTCTATTTTAATTCGCAGGTATTTGATTCAATTTGTAACCACAAGCACTTTGTGTTGACAATGTTTGATATTTCAAATAACATTCATCCTTTTCCGATATATAGATCAATCGTTTTCACGAAACGTGTGCTTTCTGCACTTTGTATGTTTTGCGATAAATGTGACATACATTAAGGGGACGTTTCTCATAAATTAGCGACAACCATTCTTCAGTTTAAATACATTGATTTCTTTCAAAATATCTCAGGTATAAAATTCTGTTTCACTGATTATGTGCATTTAGTGTGACATAATCTGCTTCGGGCGAATCGTAATTGGCTAATCGGTCCCTTCCACTTCATTGGCTATTGATATTTTCGGAGGATTGGTAATTGGAACTATCGTTTGATGGGTTTCGGCCACAGCATATTCCCACATTGAGCCTGCTGATGGAAATGTTCTCTGTGTGACTGACTCCTTCACTGTGTATACAATGGTGAGTGCATTTTTTACTTTAATTAATCGATATGTCAACGGGATAAAATTTAATGCGGTTTTCTCGTGAAGGCTAGTAACCAGGCAAAAGACTTAGCTAAGGGTTTGAAAAGTCAATGTATCAAACGACACTTTAACAGCGTAAGAACCATTTATTTCACATGTGAAACGCCTGAGCAGTAAGATCATCAGTTTGCTCAATTTAAAAAGAAATAAATTCCCAGTACTATTGCATATGGGTTTAGAGTGAAATTTGCACGACCATCGAAGCGTGCATTGCTTTATTATGCACATGAGAACTTATCTCTTCCCGGCTCTATTTTTCGATTAAGTAAGATGCACCAAGGTGTTTTCTTCATGGCCATCCTGTCAAAAAGCGCAATTTACCCATTGTTCCCCAGCGTCTTGAATTTTCATTAAACTCTTGAAACACGCAACACCTCCAAGTCCGTAGCATGGAGGAACCAGAGTTGTTATCTGAATGCAACCAGTGCAGTGGGTTTCAAACACTAAATAAATATGTGGTGATCCAAACGCAAGCAAACCTTGCACTAATTTGCATTGCAGAACGAAACACCTGTTGCTTGCTAGTTTATTATGACCGATTCTTATACTTATTTATTTTGGATGGAACTGGGATTCAACTGGCGTGGCGCAGATAAAAGCCTCAGTTTTGTACTTGAGTCCTGAATCTCTTAACAAACAGAATCGGAACTCTAAAGTGAATATAATGGGAGACTGTTTTACCGCCCCATCAAGTTTAAACAAAGAAAGATGTTTAGCTGCCAAATTCGGGTGATCCTCCCAATTTAGGAGTATGTGGAATGCAAAGTGCCTGCAGTTCAGGCCGTCATCTCTGAAATGCGCTATTTTTGGAAGTCTTCATCTCTGAAATGCGCTATCTTTGGAAGTCATTTTCGAACTGAAATACTATCCTGATGTTGCATAAGTAAAACAAATCACCATATACGTTTCCAAGCACCTGTCAAAAAGCTGATCCTACGGATACATATGTAGAAATGCAATCATCAGCTGACGTAGCTTATTTGGCGATATTATTAGTTCAGCAGCTACGGAAGTTGGGTGGATTAGAAGTTACCGGTTGAACCAATAAAAACAAATACAACAAACAGGAATCCATCTTTGTAATTAGCTAAAAACTTACTTTGCAATAAAAGCAGGTTTGCTCTCACAAGCACAAACTTTTGCTGTGTATTGTTTTGCCGAATATCTTATAGTAAAATAACCCAATTCACATAAACTTGACACAGTGGGTGCGTCTAAATTCTGCGCGGATAACATGCTTATGGATCCGGTTCCGTCGATCAGGCCGTATCCAGTGATCTACATTGTCGTGTCTACTTGTTTCTGGATTATGTTTTACCAGGGTCCCACCTATTGTATCTAATTTGCAACTGGTGTGGAATGGAAATCTTACTGTTATCGCACATCATGGGATGTGACAGCGTTTTCGTGTGTCCCAGGCCCTTATGGCCATTATCGATGGACTTATGTGTTCAAAAACACACGCTCACATCCTTTCAAAATGTGCTAAACTGACATTTTCGCGACTTTAATGGCCAGTGACAAACGCATTGTAAAATCATCTGCTAAAGAAATGGACGGAATCATGGTACTGCTCAGAAATGAACAGGCCAACTAAGCTGATATGGCGAATGGAGATTTTTGCTGTAATTAAACTCAGTATATGTTGACAAGCCCAAAAGCACGGCATAGTTTTTATCCTGTGTTAGGAGCTTACAGATAAAATTATCCGCAGGATGAGCGAAATACCTCGGAGGTCGTCATTGCACAAGCTACTCTGCAAGCCTGACTATGAGGTGTGGAATTTGTGATTGGGGTTTGGGTGACGTTATATCCTGTCCAAGTGAGCATAAACCACATTGCAAGTAATCCTCACATGACTGGAACCGTGGGTGTTCAAACTACTCACAAGAACGCCCCAGGTTAAAAAGTCTTTGGGGTTTTGTAGGACGAGGGTTACTGATGATCCCAAATGAGAATAAGCAGATGTACAGTGTTTTTGGTTTTTTCTACAGGGAATAGCTTTAGTTACAGTACAAAACATTATTTGAATGGTCCCGAATTCATCATACAATGTCATCAGTGGTATGGCTGAAGTTTGAGTGGCGAAATAAGAAATCACAAGAGGAAAATTCAGATCACATGATACACTATCGAGCTAGCCAGATGAGTTATCAAATTAGGAATTGCAAAGTTGGAAACAAACCCACGCATGTCTGTAGTCTCTGGTATCATTGAAATCTAATCATCTTGGACTGAGTCCGACTTCCAATGTTGATTGAATTTGGCGTCTGTTATAGCCAAGTGTGGTAAGGACAAACAAAGCGATTTTGGTAGCCTATCAAAATGAATACGAACAAACGAGTAACTTTTTGTGTGAGTGTAAAACTTAACAAAGAAGATAAAAAGCGACGTTTACCGAGAGTGAATTTGCTAAAGAACCCCCAGTCACTCGTCTACAATTACCTTAGTTAAAAAATATCTTAGTGCAAACTTCAGATGGCTAAAGAACAGTGTTCCAATTAGCAGAATTGACGGTTTATTGTCAATTTTGCTTGTATCAACTTTCAAGCAGTTCGTAATGGGAACTGAATGACGAGATGCATGTACTTTGCTAGTAGGAAGTCAGTAATCTTTCTTTGGCGGTTGCTAAAACGCTAAAACGCTACCAAAATTGGTTTCGTTCAGAATATTCGGTTTAATCCAGAGTAAATGAGGTCTACGTTTGGTTGTAGCTTGACGTTATGGTCATGAATTAAAATAAATTTCGGTCATTTTTTATACGTTATAATTTCCGCTACTAGACTAGCGTCGTCTAAATGCACTTTACTTCCCATGTCTAAACGGGCAAAAGCTTTTGGTGCTTGATCGACATTCACAGCTCATCAAAGCGGACGGTACAGAAATTACACTGGTTATGTTTTCGGAAGAGTCTTCTATCAGGATTTTCCCACCAGACAGCTCCAGGGGCGCTATAAAGCATGCAAACTTTTCGGTTATTTGTTGTGGGCTTAAAATAATGTACCTAAATATCGTTTAGTACGAGGTCTATTTGACAACATCACTACGCCTTGTCATAGAAATCCCCGCCTGCGAGAAGAACGCTGATGATCTTTCATAAACATCAGTCACTATCTACTGAAAACCAATGTAAGAGACCGCATTAATGGTGAAAATGAATAGTGTAGAGAACCGATGTACAGGACAAACCAAGCAGTATGAAATTCATTAACGGCACCAACTTGGTCGGTGGATGATTGAAAATGAATTTGTGCCATGTATATCAGAAAATACATTCCGTTACATCAAACATGTATGCTTAAATTTAGTCAAGCTGCTTTCGATGATTCAGACTTAGAAAACCATTTTCTGATTGTTGCTATCCGATCAGCTTCTGACGCTTCAATTTCGTCAAAGAACGATGAATTCATTTTCAGATGGGAACGATATCATTGTGTCTCTTCTGTTTTACCTCGCTATGTTTAAACCTTCTGTGAAATGTTAATGGCTGGGGCTTAACGTTCGTATAATGC